TGGTTTGGCAATGAGACCATACTTTTGCACAAATTTCCTATAATAGCCTGTTAAACCTAGAAAAGCCCTGAGTTCTGTTGCAGTTCTTGGGGTTGGCCAATTCAGCATATCAGCTGTCTTAGATGGATCAGTAGCAACACCTTTGTCAGAGATGATGTGGCCCAAATACTCTAAACTGCTTTGAGCAAAGGAACACTTGGAGGCTTTCAAATAGAACTTATGAGCTCTCAGTGTTTCCAAGACTTGCTGGATGTGAAGAAGATGGTCTTGTTTGGTGGCACTATAGATTAAGATGTCATCAAGAAATACTAAGACAAACTGTCTTAAGAATGGTTGCAGAAGCTGATTCATTATGCATTGAAACGTAGCAGGTGCATTTGTCAGGCCAAATGGCATGACCTTGAACTGGTAGTGACCCTGATGGGTCTTGAAAGCAGTTTTGTACTCATCAACTGGCAGCATTCTAATCTGGTGATACCCAGATCTCATGTCCAATTTGGTAAAGTACTTAGCACCTGTCAACTCATCCAAAATCTCTTCCACTATGGGCATGGGAAACCTATTCTTGATTGTTATTGCATTTAACTTTCTGTAATCTACACAAAAGCGCCAGGTCCCATCCTTTTTCTTCACCAGTAGCACAGGGGAGGCAAAGGGACTATGGCTGTGGGTGATCAAACCAGCTTGCAATAGTTGCTGCACTTGCTTCTCTATCTCAGTTTTGTGCTGAGGAGAATAATGGTATGGTCTTGAGTTCACTGGTACCGCATCAGGAAACAAGGAGATAGCATGATCATAGCTTCTATGCGGGGGTAAGTCAGTAGGTTCCTGGAACACATCAGCATACTGATGTAATAGCAATTGCAATTCTTCATCCGTGGTACCGTGTTGTTGGGAGGAATCAGAGTGAGGTGGTGCAGGTTCCACCATGACATATGCCCAAATGTCATTGCCTTGTGTAGACTTATACACTTGCTTAGCTGAAATGGTGTTAAGTGCCAATGGTGGAGGCTGTATACCTTTAAGAAGAATGTCTTTGTTCCTGTGCTGAAACTGCATAGTTTTCAGGTTCCAGTCACATTGCATTGGACTGTGAGCCTTGAGCCAGTCATACCCCAGGATAGCATCATATGGTAGCAGATCTAGGACTATCATATCAGTATGAAATGTATGGCCCTGCACATACCATTCTAATCCTTGCACTTGTGCTGTTGTGGTCATCCAGTGCCCATTAGCCAACTTGATCCGCTGTGGCTGGATTGGTGTAGTTGGAAGATTGTTTAATTGGACAAAATGAGAGCTAACAAAGCAGTGACTGCTCCCTGTGTCTACCAAAATAAGCATGGTCTTGTTTCTCACAGTGGCTTTCAATTGGATAGAATCTGTCGATTCAGTTCCTGCTAATGCATTGAGTGAAAGCTGTCCAAAAGTCTCAGTGAGAGCTTCATCAATGGCCATTTCATTTAGTAAATCTTCATTAATTTCCCTGTCCAGGTCATTCACTGCTAAGGCATTGATCTGTGGTTTGTTTCTCTTGCCACAAATTTCCGCATGTCCTGGCTCATACTTTTCTCCACAGGCATAACATAAGTTGTTAGCCTTCCTATAATCTCTGAGTTGTTTGTCTCTCCAAAGATTCCCATAGTGATTTGCTGGTTTGTTGTCTGTCCTGGCCTGAGGATGCTTGTTCTGAACATTCCTGTTCTGAAACTTCTGCTTTTGCCTGTCTGCAACCTTTTGTTGGATCTTTGCAATTACTGCAGCTGTTTCAACAGTGGCTGGCACCTGAGGTTCCACCACAGCTCTAATATCATCTCTCAGTCCTCTGACATACTGAGTTGCAAAGAATAATGGACTGTAGTGGCCATCATGCATTGAGACATCAAACTGCAGAGACTTGAATTGAGAGGTGTATTCCTCCACAGTTGCTGTTTGTTTTAAGTCCAGCAAATCATTCAGTGCAGACCTATGATCATCAATGCCAAATGTCTCCTGCATGTCTCTGATGAACTGTTTCCAAGAAACATTGGTATGGGTCATCTTGTAAGCTTGCCACCACTTAGCTGCATTCTCTTGCAAGTGCATAGTAGCTGCCTCCACCCACAATTCTTCAGGGATGGCATAGATAGAAAAATAATTAAGACACTTGTCCACCCAAATTTTTGGTTGGGATCCATCAAAAGCAGGGAAATGCATCTTAGGCAATGTATGATGAGGCAAACTCTCCCTGGGATGATGCTTTTGCTGTTTGAAATGCTTGGATGGTTCAGCTGTCTTCTTTCCTTTAGCAAATACATTCTCAAACATGACTTCCTCTTCTTCAGCTAGCACTGATCCTTCACTGAGGTACGCTTCTTCAGTGTCAAATTGCCTGAGGGTCAGATGGGCCACCGCCTGCCCATTGGCCTTGACCTGCTTAGCCAACTCTCGTTGTTCATTAGTACAGAGATCCACTTTCAAATTAGTTTCAGTGATTTGCTTCTTCACCTCCTGCTGAGTGATCCCCATTGAATTCATTCTCTCTGACAGCAAATCCAGATGGTCCAACACGTCCTTCCACCGGCTCTGCTCTTCATGAGCATGAGTCGCCATGTGGCCTAGCAAGATCTGCGTCTATGCTGACGGCTTCACTGGCTTGGAGGGTGCCGTGATGGATCACTGATAGAGACCAAAACTTGAAAAATTGGTGAAGCAACAGGTTCTAACACTGTCCTCCCCTACCGTGTGCAACACCGAACAAGATCACCGCCGCCTGGAAGTGAGGCTCGACCGATGAATTTTACACGGAAACGCTGTTCCGCAACCCAAATCGAAGGACACTTCCTCGCCGTTCACCACCGCTCCGCAATCAACCATAGCGTACGGAATTTTACACAGAGACCGGCGCTCTGCAACCCTCCGCCGTAAATCGATGCTAGCTAGAGAGAGAGTGAGCGAGAAGGGGTGTGCTCACTATGGTTCCACCGCCGAACCCCGTGTCGATGCCGAACCCCAGTCAAAGATGAGCCGCAGATGTGGACGCCGAGTGCGCGTCCAGCCCCGTCACGCCACCGCCGTGCGCCTAGATCCGCTGGTGAAGCAGATCCGTACCGCCGCCGCCTTACGTCGCCGCTCTCGCCGGATCTCGTCGATCCTACGAGGTCCCGACACGCCACCACCGTGCGTTTGTGCTCGGTACGAAGTCGAGCTCCCGTCACGCCGCCGCCTTGTGTATTTGGCTAGTGGATTGGGGATGGGTAGGGTAGGGTAGCGATCCGAGGAACTACTGCCTTTGATACCACCTGTAACACCGGTAACCGACGGCGATCGCCGACGACGTGAGCGCACAAGGATGGATTGCCGGAGTTGATACAGAGCCGAGAGGAACCTCTCTGCTTCACGTTTTCTATTTCCGAATATTCGATAAAAATGTCTTACAAGCCACAGTACAGTATATAACGGAAACGCTACTGGTCCGCAGGACCCACGTGTCATAGAGTCTCTATTACATAATATGGCCGATTACGCCTTCAAGTAGATAAGACGACTTCTCCTCTTTACGCCATCACCCCGTAGCTGTAACATGTTTCCAAGTTCCAACATGATGGTACTAACTACTAAGAATGAAAGATCACGCAGTTACACACTGACAGGCCATCCTAAGCCGAACAGGTCAGGTCCAGGGTCAAGCTAGACGAGGCTCATTGTCAGGTGGCCCTGGCCGTCGCGCTCGCGCCGCCGTGTGCAGATGAGACCGCCGCGCCTGGCCGAGGCCCCGGATCCCTCGCCGTGATCCTCCATGATGACTAGGCGCCCGTCGGCCACGCGCGTGCGCACCAGCGTTGGCTGCCGCCGCCGCAGCGACGAGATCGGCGGCGGCAGGTGTTAGGACCTATAGGCGGGCTCGGCAGCAGACTAAGGCACATAGGAGGAGACTTGCGCCTGACGGAAATCTAACAACAGGTGAAGAGGATGTTTCGTCGGTGACAGTGGGGTGACGCTGTCAGTAGGTGATAAGGCGGTTGATGATTGATTACCTGATAGGTTGTTAGGAGTGGGCCAGTTGTCATAGAGTGGGCCCAGAGTGTCAGTGGGGTTGTACCGGTGATATAAGGCGCATGTAAGTCTGTAACTGAGTCGTGATGGTTTATGCAATAACAGAACTCTGTTTCCTCCCCGAAATCCTGCTCTTCCCAGTCTTGCTCTGTTCTTCTTCCTCCCGATCCTATGCTATTCTCTCTACCCCGGATTCTATTCCAGTCCTCAGCGGGATCGTGACAATTGGTATCAAAGCCATCGATCGCGTTACCTTGATCGCGTTCGGTGAATCGAGTCGCGCGACGCTGTAGGTCCGAGCCGAGAATGAACGGGTCGGTGCACATCGCGGTTCCCGGTGGGAATCGGTGATCGGTGAGCAGTCTGGCGCCTAAGCGAGGACCGTCGAAATTTCAGAAAGACATGGCGCAATCGGTGGAGGAGGTTTCGGCTCAGCTTGGGGAGATGATGAAGCAGTTCGCGGGATTCCAGAAGATGCCGCAGTCGACCATGGATTGGTTGGACACTATCGGGACCTGGTAGGCGACTGCGGATACGACGTTCAACGAATTGCGCGAGAAGGCGCGCGGTACGGCGACGACGCTGGACGCGGTGGCCAAGCGGGTGGAGCTCGCGGCGTCGCCGGTTGATTCGATTGAGGCGCGGCTGACGACTACTACCATGCCTCCTCCGATCCAACCGACACCAGTGTTGGGGAACCTCAACCTCAACGCAGCTCCCGGGTCGTCCTCGTGCTCACCTGCGATGGACGGGGAGCGGGCCAAGGGGCACGGCGAGGACTGCGGCGGGCTCCTCGGACCCCGGCCACAGGACAAGAATAAGGGTACGCATCAATTCCACCTCCACCTGAACCCCATATCTCTGATGAGATTGTGCATACGAACTTTCGCTCTCCGCCTTTTCCTAAGAAAGATTTTTGGAAGTTTGATGGTGATTTTCCGCGTGCATGGCGGGATGAATGCGAGATGTTCTTCGAGCTTTACGCGGTGCAACCATCATTGAAGACGCGGTTTGCTGCTCTTAATTTCCGTGGGGTGGCCAAGACATGGTTGCAAACTGTACAGAGGAAAGGGCGTGTGCTGGATTGGGATCGGCTTTGTGAGTTGGTGATGAACTGTTTTGACAAAGATCAGTATCAGCTGTTGCTCAAACGGTTCGATGCTCTGAAGCAGACAGGTTCTGTTGAGGATTATCAGATGGAGTTCGAGAAGCTGGCTCAGGGCATTCTCTTGTACAACAGTGGTTATGATGACACCTATTTCGTGACTCGGTTTGTAGCTGGGCTCAAGGAGGAGATTAGATCAGTGATTGCTTTGCACAGGCCACGCGATGTGGACACTGCCAGCGCTCTAGCCCTTCTGCAGGAAGAGGAGCTTGCCCGAGAAAAGAATAAGGCCAGTGGGTACTCAAAGAGCAGTTTCAAGCAAGGGGCTGATAGGTCCAAATTACCAGATGCTGACAAGAGCAAGGGTGATGGACAGGTCAAGGAATCTGACGATAAGCTGGCTTATCTAAGGGATTTCAGGCGTAAGAACGATCTGTGTTTCAAATGTGGTGGCAAATGGGACAAAAATCACAAATGCCCAGCACAAGTTCCCATACATGTAATTGAAGAATTGTTAGATGCTTTGGAAGAAACTGATCAGGACACTGGTAGTGAGGAAGCAGAGTTGGAGGATGTGGTGATGGCAGTTGGCCATTCTGATGTCTCAGCTTTGCCCAAAAGGAGAACAATGAAGCTGCATGGCAGGGTTGGTAAGCTGGAGATATTGATATTGGTAGATTCTGGTAGTGTGGGTACCTTCATCAGTGACATATTGGCAAACCAACTCCAGCTGCCTATAACTTCCTGTGAGCCTGCTCAGTTTGTAGCTGCTGATGGTGGTCCTATGGTGTGTAATCAGAGGATTCAAAATTTGCAGTGGACAACTCAAGGGTATACATTCACATCTTCTGTGGGAATTCTACCTTTAAGATGCTTTTATATGATTCTTGGGTAGGATTGGTTGGAGGAGTGCAGTCCTATGTGGGTACATTGGGCAAAGAAGCTGATGAAGTTTACTATGAATGGCACTAGAGTACATCTGCAGGGTATCAAGCAGGACCTAACAAGGTGTTCTTCTATTTCAAAAGAGGGGTTAAAAGGCTTAATCAACAGACAGGCTGTTACTCATTGCCTACAATTCAGATGGGAGGCTAAGCCTGACAAGTTGGATGAGGGTGTTTGTGCTGTCACAACTCTACTAGACAAGCAAAACTTTCCTGAACTGCAAGTCTTATTGGAGCAGTATGCAGACTTGTTTCAGGAGCCTAGTTCTTTACCCCCAACCAGGCCATTTGATCATAGCATCCATCTCATTCCTGGGGCTCAACCAGTAAATGTTAGGCCTCACACATATTCTCCAGCTCAAAAAGATGAAATAGAGAAACAGCTTCAAAAAATGTTGAAAAGTGGAATCATAAAATTCAGTGATAGTCCATATGCTTCTCCAGTACTATTGGTAAGGAAGAATGATGGCTCTTTGGAGATTTTGTGTTGATTAGAGGCATTTGAATGCCCAAACTGTCAAGAATAAACATCCCATGCCTGTAGTGGAAGAGCTCATTGATGAGTTAGCTGGAGCTCACTAGTTTTCTAAATTGGACTTTAGAGCAGGTTATCACTAGATACTAGCCATTGCTGCCCGCGCTTCGCTGCGAGTGATGTGCTTGGTATAGGAAAAATCTTGGAAAATATGGCTCATATGTCTAATATGTTTTATCATCGCGTTGCTACGAAAGGTTAGTCTATTTGATACATTAAATGGGAAAAATATGGGAAGAAAAGATAACATGGCTTTTTTCATTACAATGTTGTAAACCAACATATAGGTTGGTTGTCATTACATGGTGCCTATTCTAGGCCAGCAAATCAATGACATGTTAGTGGAAAGAAGTATTTGATGGAGTTGGGCTCAGGCAACTAACACACTTAGATTCAAAGCACAACATTGGCTAGGATTACATTATAGGTGGAAAGAGCAAAAACTACAACACAAGTACGTCTCCTAACGCGAGAGTTTACAAAAGAGTGAATTAGGATCCACTCCCCTTAGGCGAAACTACAACACATTTCGTAAATCTGGAATTACACGAAAGATTACACGACGTCGAACACTAAATTACACCAAAATTTAAAGTTACATGGTTAAGAGCAACCTAGTACAACCAAGGCTTACTCCAGAAGTCGGGATAGACGAGGGCAATGGAAAAACAACAAGATAATGATTATCCAAAACATGGCGTATGACCAACAGATCCAGAAACAGGAGACTGAGAAGTCAAACATCGTGAACCCTAAGACCAAACTAACCAACGGTAGACTTGAACTTCTTTGAAAACCAGATCCCTTCTTCTCAGATTACACCATCACCTCTGTGAGACAAACCTAGTTTCACAATGATGACTGGATCTCGTAGCTCTGCTTCGGATTCGAGAGAGATGGGGATGAAGAAGAAGAGCAAGGACCAAGGGCATCTTATAGTGGCGAACGGAGATGGGGCGCAGCGCACCGGAAGTGGAGACAACATGGATGGGATACACTGCCGGTTCACGCTGTGGGGATAAAGTCGGCCATGACGCTCTCCCTGCGCAAGCGAGCGGAGGAGGGGAATAAAGGAGAGGAGAGAGGGTTCGCTTGACGAGGGAGGCGTGCGGGCGGCCGTGTCCCCAAAAGAAGAAAGGGAGGGGGTCCGGTATGGGGACGAGGGCGAGGATCAAGAGCGGACCAGAGGCCGAGAAAAGGAGAAGCACACAGTGCATGAGGACGACGAGTGTGGCACGATGTCGCGGCCATGAGAGGACAGGGTGCTAATGGGCCCGACACCGACTGCGTCTGTGGGGCACGCGGTGATAGCGACCCGGCGTGCGTAGCGTGGTCGAGCTGGGCATAGTGCTTGGGACTTGACATCCACTCAGGCTTTTCTAAGCACTCCCTACTACCCAAGGCTAACTTTTCCTAGGTGTTCTTCTTTCGTTCCCTTCCTTGTCCACAATATGTGCCAACCTTTGTATGAAGTGAGATCGCAACATACATGCTTTCTCCTACGAACCACATCCTGCATCACTAACTGGTTCTGATTAAGGCTTGGATGGCAGAATAGCATCTCAAATAATATTTTTTTTGGTCAAGGGAAGATGGTAGAATAGCTAATGGGGGGTGGAGTCACCTCAGAAGCTGAATAAACTTCTGTGTTGAACCCAATATCTTCAGAGTGGATGCGTCTACCAACTACGAAGATCATGAGGTCAAAGAAAAAAAAAGTAGCTATAACAAGGACAGTCAAGTAACATTAGCTAGAAATACAGTTGTTTCAATTAAAACTTGCATCACAGTGCAGTTTCATAATTGCAACCATGAACAATTAAACAAATGGCCTCAGAATATCCATCGTGGTTTCATGCTTGCATGACCTTATTTTTTCTCTGTACAATTAAGAAGTAACTACATGTTACCATTCGTTGAACGCATTCAGAGTCAATCAGATGGAATTCAACTCAAACTGACAAGGTAACTATCTAACCTAGCTGTGAGTCCCAGAGCATAGTAGTGCTTACAGAATTTGTACTGAAACTAAGAGCTGACGTGCTCATACCTGTGGCAACACTATAGCTGGTCGCAGATTGGCAAAAACCGCGAGTCCGGCATGGAGCTGCAGCAGCCCGGTCTAAGGCTTGAGGTGCTTCTCATTGTTATCCCACTTATAGCTACAACCACGAAATGTCATCTAAGTACTCATAGCGTAGAGGCGGGAGAGCAATTCCAACTGAAGCGATGCAATTCGCTGCAGTGCCAATACTGTGGGCTCTGTGTCTGCTCCTGAAATGACAATAACAAATCCGCTCACCCTCCAATTGCGCCAAGGAGGACGGCATCGGAACCCTTGGCCGCGTCGAGCGTCTCGTCGGTGAGCGGCACACCGGTGGTGTCCAGCGCCGAGCCACCCACCAGCTTCTCCTGGAACCGGAGCTCGATGCCTGCGGCGGACGGAAGGAAGCAAACAAGGGGGTCATGATTTTGGTAGGTGCTAGCGCCTCGGAGTTTCAGGGAGCTAAGGCAAGCATTGGAGGGTGACGAGGGGGCTTACCTTCGAGGGCACCGGCGAGGGAGAGCACGGCCTTGGCGACGGCGACCACCTCCGGGCCGATGCCGTCCCCAGGGAGGAGCGTGATGTTGTAGCTCCTAGCCACCGCGGAGCACCGGAAGCTCGCCGCCGACGCACCGGCAGGAGATGGCTAGGGTTTTGAGCGGCGTGGCTTGCAGAGCCGCCGCCATTACCGCCACTTGCTTGATTGGCTTCACGTCGCTCAGGCTCTCTACGCCGAACGCGACGTGGCAGATGGCGCAGAACCCGAACCGGCGCAGCGCGTCCTGCAGGTCGATGGCCCCGCCGTCCCTCGCGGCGTCGTCGTCCAGGAGCGGCAGGAAGAGGCGGCGCAGGTGCACGTCGAGGACGCCGTCAGTGAACCGGCGGAGCGAGCGGGACAAGAAGGCGTGCGACGCCAGCTTCCGCTTGGGGGTGCGGGCAGTGGGCCATCGTTGTTGCTGGCCGCTTGGTTGGAGGAGGGCCGCGGCGCCGGAGACGAAGGAGGAAGACGACGGACAAGAGGAAGGCGAGCACATAGGCAAGGTGGATGGCTTCCATTGTTGTTGCACGGAGGTCGCATTCGTCTAGAACAGCTGCTCGCCGCGCGCCGCAGCAGCAACGCCGCCTCCGCCTCCGCGTGGGATCCCGCCACTGCTGAGGCCATGATGCCAGGACGCCACGCCGCCGCGCCGCGCGCTCGGCCCGCGCCGCTGCGCCACCACGCCCGCTGCGCGCTCCCCCCGCGCCGCCGCGCCACCTCCGCGTGGGGCCCGCCCTAGGTGAGGACGCACGCCGGGGCCCACACCTCTGCTTGCTCCTGTGCCGGTGGCCGCTGCGCCGGACCCGCCTGCCCACGCCAGAGCTCCTGCGCCGCTGCTGAGAGTAAGGGAGAGTGAGGAAGGGAGTAGAGGAGCAAGCAGCTGCCGCCTCCTGCCATTTACACGAGAGAGAGGATAAGCGTGAAGTCCGCCAAACAGTGCGCATGCTCCCAGTTCATTGAATGCACGCCGAGAATTCATTGAATGGACGGTGCCGACCAACCGCGCTTTCATAGGCCCCAGCACGCGTACTCAAATGCGTATCGAACACCGTACTAATTAGCCACCGGCTATGCATACCGAAAATCCTTCGTCCCCTGCTACACGCTACCGTCCATTTGCGTGCCGCGTACGCAGACCAGCCCTACTTCATTAAATGCGTCCACTTGCTTCATCTATTCACTGCCGAATGCACGGAGGAAGACCGGTTGTGACACGCTTCATCTGAGCCTTGAAATTTCTATCTAACGCGCTAAATAAACAGAACATACGTGGACACCCTAGGAGACCACCGATTCGACGTGCCTTCATATCTTTAATGTATCACTCCGGAGGATACCCACAAGACAACTTTTAGGACCCACAGTGGCTTATATGAGTTTTTGATGATGTCATTTGGGTTAACAAATGCTCCAGCTACCTTCCAAGGAATTATGAACTTGATCTTTGCTTCATTACTCAGGAAAGGAGTATTGGTGTTCATGGATGATATACTGATATACTCTGATACCTTGCCTGAGCATTTGGAACTATTGCAACAAGTGTTTCAGATTCTGAGGCAGAATAGATTTTACATCAAGCTGTCTAAGTGTGCCTTTGCTCAGACTGAAGTTGAGTATTTAGGGCATACTATTTCTGGCAAAGGAGTGGCTACTGAAGCATCTAAGATAGCTGCAGTTGAGAGGATTCTTGGGTCTTACAGGCTATTACAGGAAGTTTATAAAACATTATGGGTTGATTAGCAAACCCCTATCTGATTTGCTCAAGAAGAATGTGCCTTTTGTTTGGACATCAATCACTGAAACTGCATTTCAGCAGTTAAAGCAAGCTCCAGTTCTTGGTTTGCCTGACTTCACAAAGCCATTTATGATAGAAACAGATGCTAGCGACTTGGGTTTTGGAGCTGTTCTCATGCAAGAAGGGCACCCAATTGCATATTTGAGCAAACCAGTGTGCCAAAAGAATCAAGCTCTTTCAACCTATGAAAAGGAATGTATGGCCTTGGTTATGGCTGTGGACAAATGGAGGGCTTACCTGCAGAATCAAGAGTTTATCATTAAAACAGATCACAAAAGCCTGCTGCATCTCTCTGAACAAAGAGTGACCACTAAGCTTCAGCAAAAGGCACTGCTCAAACTGATGGATCTTCAGTATAAGATTATTTACAAGCAAGGCCCCACAAACCAGGCAGCTGATGCCTTGTCTAGGTGTCATTCACATGAGTCTGTGGCCACCATCTCTACTTGTAAGCCTGTTTGGGTGGATAGAGTTAAAGAGGGATATGAGGAGGATGATCAGGCTACCAAGTTGATTGAGGAGTTAAAAGTTGCTGGGGGTCAGTTGGGATCTTATACTCTGTCTGATGGGTTAATTAGGCACCATGGCAGAGTCTTGCTGGGATCAAATAAATTGGCACATCATCATATTCTGCAGGCCATACATAATTCTGGAGTGGGGGGTCATTCTGGATTCACAGCCACATACTATAGGGTCAAGAAGCTTTTTTGTTGGCCGGGCATGAAGCATGACATCCAGGAATTTATTGCCAGTTGTCAGGTATGTCAGCAGGCTAAGATCATTCATGCAAAGCCAGCTGGCCTATTATAGCTTTTACCTGTTCCAGAACAAGCTTGGCATGCTGTGTGCTTGGATTTTGTTGAGGGACTTCCCAGGTCCAACAGATATGACACTATCTTGGTGGTGATTGATAAATTCAGCAAGTATGGGCATTTCATTCCATTATCACATCCATATACAGCCACGCAGGTAGCTCAGTTGTACTTGGATCAGGTGTATAAACTTCATGGGTTACCACAACAGATTGTTTCTGATAGGGACAGAATCTTTACAAGTTTTGTGTGGCAACAACTGTTCAAGCTCACAGATACTCAGTTGCTGATGAGCTCCTCTTACCATCCACAAACTGATGGTCAGACTGAGCGTCTCAATCAATGCTTAGAAGGGTTTCTGAGATGCAGTGTACAAGCCTGTCCTAGACAGTGGAATAAATGGTTACCTGTGGCTGAATATTGGTACAATACTTGTTTCCACTCAGCCTTGGGCTTATCTCCTTTTGAAGTATTGTATGGACATTCTCCAAGGCATTTTGGTTTTTCTAATGATGCTCAATTCCATGCTCCTGACATTGAGCAATGGCTATTGGAGAGGAAGTTGCTTGAAGATGTAGTTAAACATCAGTTGGCTAGGGCTCAACAATGTATGAAGAGCCAGGCGGATAAAAAACGCCAGGAGGAGTTCCAGGTGGGTGATCTGGTCTATCTCCGGTTGCAGCCATATATTTAGTCATCTGTAGCTCCAAGGGGGGATCAAAAGCTCAATTATCGGTATTTTGGGCCATTCAGAGTTCTAGCCCGAGTTGGCTGTGTGGCATACAAGCTTGATCTGCCGGAAGATTGTCGTATTCATCCTGCAGTACATGTGTCCTAGCTCAAGAAGCATATCGCTCAGCAAGAGTTGGTAGTGGAGGACATTGCTTCTGTACCGGTGGATCACATGACAGTCTTACAACCGGAGCAGTTTCTGTCAAGCAGAATGGTCAGTAAGGGGGCCTCCGCTGTCTCACAGATTCAAGTTCAGTGGGAGGGATGTCCAAGCACGATGACCACTTGGGAAGAGACTGAGGACTTACATCGTCGGTTTCCAACACACCCAGCTTGGGGTCAAGCTGGCTTTCAAGGAGGAGGGAATGTTAGGACCTATAGGCGGGCTCGGCGGCAAACTAAGGCACAGAGGAGGAGACTTGCGCCTGACGGAAATCCGACAGCAGGTGAAGAGGATGTTTCTTCGGTGACAGTGGGGCGACGATGTCAGTTGGTGATAAGGCGGTTGATGATTGATTACCTGATAGGTTGTTAGGAGTGGGCCAGTTGTCATAGAGTGGGCCTAGAGTATCGGTGGGGTTGCGCCGGTGATATAAGGCGCCTGTAATTGAATCGTGAAGGCTTATGCAATAACAGAACTCTGTTTCCTCCCCGATATCCTGCTCTTCCCAGTCTTGCTCTGTTCTTCTTCTTCCCGATCCTGTGCTATTCTCTCTACCCCGGATTCTATTCCAGCTATCTATTCGATCCTCAGCGGGATCGTGACAGCAGGCTTCGCGCGCTGTCCGCCCAGCGTTGCTGCTGCTGCGGAGCTGTTGCTATTCGATCCCCAGCGTCGCGCGCTATTCCAGCTATCTATTCGAGCCTCAGCGGGATCGTGACAGCAGGCTTCGCCCGGCGGCTGTTGCTGCTGCTGCGGAGCTGGCAGTGCTGGCGCGGCCGCGGCGTCGGCGTTCGCGGCGACCAGACCCTGGAGGATGCCGACAACGAGGTTAGGGTCGGCGGGGTCGACGCGGAAGGCGAAGAGCAGCGGCGGCGGCATCATCGTTGCGTGCCGGAAGAGCCTTGTGTCAGTGGCTCGGGGCTCGGGCTGCTCGATCGGGATCCGTGACCCTGACCTCGACCAGAGTTCTCGATGGGCAGCTTTACCTTGTCGTCACGTCATGTCAACGTGTATTTTCCTGTCGGTTAGTGCCATCCCATACCCGTACCCGCCACCCGCAAAAAATGTCCATACCACAACACGAGACAGTCTTCCGGAGCGCTTCAATTGTTGGTTCAATCTGGGCCAGCGTGGGAAGTCATATGGGCTAGCTGTAGGAAGAAGGTGGACCTAGTTGGTTGGGCCAAGACGGCCATTGGTCTTGTTTGGCTCAGAGGCTGATAAGTTCAGCCCAATGGAGATCTTTGTGCCTCTCAAAATGATTTTTTCTTTACTTTTTTCTCTCTCCAAAACATAGTACACACACTTAGATTCTAAGATGCAGTTATATAGTCACTCAGATCTTGCGATTGACATCGTAGGTGTCTTGCTATTAAGGGATACAAGTAATTAGCAGAAGATATAATCACCCTTGTTGAGTTGGAAATGTGAACACGGGTGGGGAGGTTGGAACATAAGAAATCTAACGAACTTGTAAAATAAAAAAATATTTACTTTATAGTCTAAAATCTTGGCCTAAGGCTTGTTTGGCCAAACTTTTAGCATCCAACCAAACAGGGGTTAGATTTTTCTTGGACAAGACTAACATTTGGCTTGGCACAGCCAACAACTAAACATGCCTTAGGCCCCTTTGGAACGTAGAAATTTTTTCAGCTTTCTATATTATCCTATGAAAATGAACCGATTCCTATAGAATTTTGGCACTACGTTAACGATCTAAGATACCAAGGGAATCCACTCCCATGACCAACTGTAACACCCTAAAATTAGTTACTTTCTAAAAAGAGTAAAACGATTTCTGTTAATTGTTTTGTGCTCATAAAAACATAGGTAAAAGAAAACTTTCTTTAAATTAAATCCAACATAAGGGTAGCAACATGTTTGCACATACATGCAGTTGCATTGGTACTTTTATGATGAGTGGTTTGGATGCCGTTGCATTGGTACTTTTGTGATGAGTGGTTTGGAAAATAAATTCAAATCTCAATCTTCAAAATATTATTTTCAAGTAATGGTTTAAAAAGAAATTAAAACTTGTAAAAACAAAAGTTAGATAAGATGCTTTGTTTTCAAAATCCAAAGGCTTGGAAAAGGTTTTAAGACGTGTTAGAATGATGCCTCTCTTTCCAGGAATCTTTCCGACCTTTTTCGGGATTAAATTCCTATTTCTTGGAGCCTTGTCTTTTTCCTCGATCAATCTAAAAGTCTTTTCGGGAGCTAAAACCATTTTGGTCGTGTTCCTTATCCTTCCATCTATCCCTACGAATTTTTCTAGAATTTTTTGGAGCTCAGAGATATTTTTCATAGCCTAAATAGTAATTTTCGATTTTCTGTAATTATTTTAATTCTGAAAATCAATAATTAATAAATATCTTCACTTTCCAAAATCTCCAAACCCTACGTATATATATATATATATATATGCCGGCGTAGCCCTCGACGCGAAGATTCCAGAAGTACAGCCCGTTTCATGAGCCACCACTCCTATCGCCGCAGATCGGACGCCGAAGTTCAGAAAAGCTAGATTTCCGGCGAACTCTTCGGCGAGCTTTTCCGGCCAAACCGTCGCGTTCCGGCGTCTACCACCACCACCACAAGGTAGATCTCGTCGTCCTATACACCGTCTTGCCATACTTTTTCGCGAATCCGTGCCCGATCATCGTTTCCCTAACCTCTCTTTTTCTTCTCCGGCGAGGCACCTCCATGGCTGCTCGTTCTTCTCGAGGTTCCGGCCGACTCGGCCTTGGCTGCGCCTCCCAGCGCCCCGACCCCACGCTGTGGCCCCGCGACGCCCGTCTCGCTGCCCTCCCGCGCGCAGCTCCGCGTTTGCTGCTCGTGCGAGCAGGGCTGGGCGCCACCACCGAGGCCGCTCGGGCCTTGCCCGTGCAGGCCGCTGCGGCCCCATGGCTTGGCCCCGCGCGTGGGCCCCTGTGCCACCGCGGCCTGACGTGGCCGCTGGACAGCGCCCGGTCCCCCTCTGCCGGCCGTCACCAGTCCCATCCGCGAGCAGCAGCAGGCCAGCTTCCATGGACATGTTCTGTACGTACAGACTGAGATGAAGTAAGGTAGAAGATGATGATATTTACGAAATTGCCACTACTTCTTTTAATCCCTACCGTTCAATCGTTTTAATTCCGTTTCAGTTCGTTCCAGTTGCGTTAGTTTCGTGTCGTCGAGATCTACGTAGTGGCGCTATTAGTTTTCATATTACATGTTTATGAATTTATTTTATTAAAATATTAATTGTGTCTATAATTAATTAATCGCTGCTTAATTAAAGTCGATTTAGGTTTTTAATTTCGATTCGATTGCCCGAGTTTCATCGCAATGGGTGATACGTGTTCATGACGATGTGTTCCATGTTACCTTATTATGCTTTTATAATTAAATATTAAAATGATTAAGTATGCATGCAAATAGTTTTATAATTAAGTAATATATGTTTCATATCTCGACAATTCATGTATAATATTAATATGATTAATTGTTGATATTAATATTCTTTTCAATTATAAGTTTGGTTAGTTGAAACCCGTTGTATATATGATAAACTTGTATAGATGCTCTCACATGCATTTTACTGTTGCAAAGTTTAAGTTTAACTTGCTTAATCTACTTGGCAACATTTATAAATAAAACATGATTACTCTAACTCAGTTTCTAAATTAAAATATAATTTGACTAATGCTACGTGTTAGCAGTGACGTTTAGTATGTCTCATATCTCAAAATTTTATAAGTTAAATGTTAATTTGTTTAATAGTTATGCAACTGGGTTTATAATTAAAAGCAACTTAGGTGAATACATCAGTCTTTCATAAATCACTATCACTATGATTAATATTGACATTAATACATTTTTAATTTATAGCATCTTAGTTCAACTTCAACACATGATGCTTTCATATGACTTTTGTCACATGTCCTTTAATCTTTCTAGTTAAATGTTTAAATGACTTAAATGATGAGATATTTTTATAAATAAAATATAATTAGCTTTAACTCAACTTTTCAAATTGAATACGTTCTGAGTAACCTGATTGGGTACTACTCACATAGTTTTTCTTAATTAACATGAATCAAGCTCGTAAATGTTTCTTTTGTAATATATATAAAACTGTTCGGTAGTTGTTTCTTCTTAACGATAGTTTCGTTATCGGCGTGTTCTACGTAGTGGCGTTAGTGGTTCTCATGTTACTCAAATGTGTTTTGACAGTTAAAAAGTTAATTATATTAATACTATCACTTGCATCGTTTTCGGAATATAAAGTCAATATAGGTTTTATACTACGCTCTTTCTTAAGCAATGAATCAAATTGATTAATGAGAATATTCACATGTGTTTCTATAGTTAAAATAAGTTAAATGAATAGGTTTTATTTTTCGTTGCTTCGATAGTCGCTTTTTCGTTGAATCGCATATAGCGTGTCTTTTGCGTTTGTGTGTTCGTAGCGATACGCCGTTTTGCTTATTTTATTGGTTGGTGTACCGTTCTCATATATTCTTGTTTGTATGTCATGTATGGATATTTGTGTGGTGATATATGGTTCAGTCAATCGATGAGGTTTACGTGGTGATTAAGAAGCTATTCTCTAAAGACTAGAAGCTGAGAATTGGAAGCAGAAGATTAAAAGTTGAATACTAAAGGCTTTTGAGCGTATTGCTTTGGGGGAAAAGTAAGTTAAGGCAAGTATACCAAAGGCCCTTTATACCTATGAATTACTACACTTCATATTCATGCATGTGTCTAATTTGATATACCCTTAAGGACTTTACCTAGATGAATACTTGTACCACATATCTTTGTTACCTATGGTTTGGGTATACATTTTGGATAGATGTTGCAGCGCTGAACATAAAATAATAGCTAAACATGACTAAAGACATTATGCAATATGATAACATGAAGCTTTGTAGCAACAGATAGGGGGCTAGAGTATGGGGTTGAGTACTCTAGTGCCTCTCTCATAAGGACTTAATCCTAAAGCGGCAACCTAGAAGGTTCCGTATAACCCCGAGTGTCATATGGCTCTGACTTTAACCTGTTAACTAGATTGTACTAGCTCATCTGTAGCTCCAGTAAGGGTAAGAGGGTATCTTTCTTTTTTCTGCTAGGATGTGTACCGTGCTGCGATGCCCACGTGTGCCACTCATTTGTAGCTACGACTTGTTAGTGCAACTAGCTAAGGGTTTCATAGTGATACCCTACCACACTTCCTGGGAAGAGGTGTAGTGGGCCTTGCAAACCCTAGCATTGGGAATCACAGCTCGGTGGGTAAAGATGTACAATTTCTATAGAAATATTTAACCTGTTATAACAGCTGTGCTCACGGATACGAGCGGTCTGGATCCTTCAAGATTAGTGGTTACTGCGGATGGTGGATGGTTGAAAATTGAGATAAACTTGATTATACTTTAATATCACTTGAGAATTGGGACTGTTCATTAAAGTAGTGATACATGATGCTAAAACTTGATCAACTAAAATTGCGAACCGCGGTCAAACAGTGTCAAGCCTTTTGAGCCTCATAGACCCCTTTGATATACTTGCTAAGCATGGTGAGTTTACATTTGCTTTACATCCAATGAAAATCTTAGATGGGTACCAGATTGTCAGTTTGAAGGAGTTAGGCTTGTGGTCAACCAGTCAGTCGTCCCTATGGATTTAGAGTCTTCGCCTGAAGATCGGAGTCGACTTTCCGCTGTCTATACTCTGAGGTTATATTCTTTATACTAATACGTTATGTAATAAGTATTATCTTTTGATATTACCCTTATTTGTGGCTATATGTGATATTTGACTTTTGGGCTCACATATAGTGTGTATCTGATTTTGATCTTTAAAACCGGGTGCTACACCAACCACCTTCATAGAAATTGGGAGAAAAGATGAGGGTAAAGAATCAAAATAGCCAAATGTGTGGGTGAGAGTATCTGGGAGAAGGGACC